TGAAGATTCAGATCTGATTCTCGGCGAGCGTCCACGTCACAAAAGGCAGGAGTTCGAGAGAGGTAAAAGTTCAGATCTGAGATCTACACAAAACTACACTCCGGATCAAAGCTTGGCCTTTGATCCCGAGATTTGGACGATTATTTCCTTGGTGAACTAATCCTCCCCGGCTATTATTCCCTTCGCGGAATAATACCCGTCAAATCGTGTAGATCCGACCGGATCTAGATCGCGCGGTGGTCCACGGATTAACCCCGGCGTCGGCAAAGAACCCACACAAAGCAAGAGACCGCAAAACAGGATCTTGCGATTTGTTCTAAAGGAGAAAGTTGTAATTTTTATTTCTTTTTTTTATTTGATTTTCGTTGTAACCGGATCTAAAAAAGACCGGATCTTTGTAATCGATAAACTATTACAAGAATTTGCAATGGAATCAATGATGAAGAAAGCTACGATTTTCACCGCGAACATCCATATGTAGGGAGTTCAAATGCACTGACCGTCTTTCGGATGTCCGGTCGAAGCCCTTCCTCGAAGCGACGAGCTCTATCTTCCTCATTACCCAACAAGTGAATGTCAAACTTTGATAGATAAGTGAACTCTTCTTCATATTCAGCTACCGTCTTGTCACCTTGCTCCAATTTTCGAAACTCCTGTTCTTTTTGTTTACGAACAGTTGAAGGAAAATATTTTTCATAAAAAATCTTTTTAAATGAAGGAAAATACTTTTCATAAAAAATCTTTTTAAACTCCTCCCATGATAACTTGTATGCTTTCTCTCCCAACGTCCTGACCTGCATTTGCCACCACCCGTAAGCGCGGTCTTTTAACATATATACTGCATAATCAACCTTCTCCTCTTCAGGGCATTTCATGTATGTGAAGACCTTCTCCATTTCTGTGATCCAATGCTCAGCAATCATGGGATCAGTTGTTCCCTCAAAACTGAGTGGAGATAGTTTCTTGAATTCTTCCATGCCACTTCTTAATTTTGGGTGCTCCTCGTTTTGACCATTCGTCCGATTACGATCAATTTGATCTTGTTGTCTGGTGACTACAGATGTCACCCCGGAGGTGGATGCACGAGCAATTCTAGATCTCATCATTTCACCTATCGTCTGATTTAGATCCCTACTCCGTTAGGAGGGGTTTGCTCATTACCTGAAGTCATAGCTTCCTATAAATAATAAAATATTTCAGTCAACTATTATACAAGGAGAAATTCCTAAGTCAGTCACATATATGCAATTTAAGTAATTAGGAACTCAATCATTACTCAACATAATAACACAAATCAGTATTTGCAAACCAAAAGTATATTATTAATATTTAACTTTTTAGTTCATACACATATCTGAGTATATGGGTTCATATATACATATTTTCTACCAAAATGTCCTACATAAACCAAAAGAGTGACTATGAAAACCCATATACTGATATTACAAAATTGCCCTAACAGTTATGCTCTATTTCCCTGAAGAAGAGCTGCTGGAACTAGACTTCTCCTCAGTTGGTTCAGTCTCCTCTGAGTCTTGGCTATCAACAGAATCAGACATTGGATCTGGATCTATGCCACTAGTCCCCCATCCTTCAAGGTCGAG